AGCAGATGTGGCAGTGTTTACATGACAAGGGTTATGAGGTCGTGTTGACGCTGACACAGCACAGCAAACAGGGCATTCAGTCCACAGACAGCACCAGAAAACGACCCTGTGCTGAGCCCCTCCCCCAACTCTGCCCCTCTGCACTGGGCACTGGACCTCAGGTGTAGGGCAGGCAAACTGCTGCTACCCACTTGGAGTGGGGGACACATGCCTTGTGCCAGCCAGAAGAACCGGCTTACTCGTTCCCTAGCCAGCTGTGTGACCTTGGCTAAGTTCTTTGGCCTCTCTGGGCTTGATTCACCTCATCTCCAAAACAGAAGAAATACCTGCTCCACGGGCTTGCCATCAGAGCCAATAAAATAACATCTGCAAAACAGCTTTATAAACATGAAAGCATGGGATAAACAAAATACACTGAATTTAGGTTCTAGTATCTAGGCACATGCCTTCTCCATTATCTGGAAAGAAAGGTGTCTCGTTGTTTAGGCAACAGAGAGACATCCTGGGAGATTCTATAGAAAATCTGGGAGAGGAGGCGAGCCTCATTTGCAGAGATCCTCTGTCCTAAGCTGCAGGAGGTGGGAGCCAGCCTCAGACCTGGGAGCCCAGAGCCAGGGACATCAGATTTTGCTCTGATGCTTAAGCTGCAGACCATTTAATCCTGTAGAGGCCCTCTGAACTAGGCCCCTGAACTGAGGATTAGCCAGAAACTACAGGACTAGGAGATGAGGGTGGGGGAAGAGGATGGCCTCACTGCTTTAAACCGACTGTTAAGGTTCGAGAGGATTTGGGATAGGAGATGCAAAGCAAACAGACTCCTTATTTTTCCTGGTGGAATTGGACCCGTAAGACCTACTTTCCTGGTCGCTCCTCCCATGGGGTTGCAAGGAAGCCAAGGAGTAAGGAAGGAAGAAAACTAACGTTTATGGACTGCCTATGTGCTAAGGGATTTATGTTGATTATCTCATATGTAGGTATTATCCTCACTCTCTTGATGAAGGATCCAGGGCTCAGAGAGGTGAAAACCCTTGCCCAGTGTCAAACATCTAGTCAGTAGTGGTGCCAGGATCTGGACCTGAGCCTTCCAGGTCCTACAAGTTTTCTCCTGTGCCCGGGTGAGCTAACACCTGGGGGGATGGCAGGAGAGAGCATCAGCCCCATCACACACAGCACAAAGGACAGAATTAGCACTCAGGAGAGGGGACAGCAGAGAGTCAGCATTCTGGGGTATTTCTGTGGGGAGGAGGAAACCTGTTCACAGAGCTCACCCCCACCCCAACAAGGGGTCTTCTCTCAGAATTCCTGAATCATCCCAGCATCTAAGGGCAGGAATGAGGAACTGAGTTTCTCAGCACTGGACATAAAACTTTGTCCACAGCTGGAAAGACTTGGGGGTGTAGTTATGGACCTATGACTGAGTTATCCTGCCTCCCCTCCTAAAGAGAACCCCTACTTCCATGCACAGATAATGTGCTTTGGAGATGGTCCCCTATCTTGGGGATAGAGGCCCACCCCCCAGAGCAGTCTATGAACTACTTGAGAAAATGATTCTCATTTCTTCAGAGTCCTGCTTGGTTCCTTGCCTACCATGTTCATTGGACTCTTGGCTGAGTTGATAGATGAACCCTGCCATCATATTATAGATCAGACAACAATTCCCCCAAGGGGAGCCAAGAACATTCTGCCTAATGATAGCTTGCTAGAATAAGGACATGACTTCTCACAGGGACCACCATGATAAGAATGGCCATTCTGTTCGTTAAAAAAAACAAGCCCCCCCCCCAAAAAAAACCCCAAAACTATCAGTGCTAAGATTTTAGAGCCAGGGCTCCTGGATGGGGCAGGCAGATGTGACAGTTTCTGTCCCATTTCCAAGAAAGTAGCACCTATTTACTGATGCAGGAGGTTAAATTGTCCCATAGCATTGTCTCCTGACCTCATACTAGTGCCCAATATATAGGTTACTCAGTTGCATGTGAATCCATCTCCCCTGTGGGACAGTGGGCTCCTCCAAGTAGGGCTGGTTTGCATGTTTTACTCAAGCATCTCTAGTGAAAGGCTTAGTCAGAACCATGCACCCTTCAGGCTCTGATGCAGACTTGGTGGGGCCACAGGCCTGGGGACCATGAGCCCCAGAGGGACTTACTGCCATGTTAGGAATAAGACACTGAATCTTTACCTTTGCAAATAAGGGCAATTTTGTGCATTGACGATCATGGCTATAGATAGCCACGTGTATTACCTAGGGACTTGGTGTTCTAGCTTCTGGGACACAAGGCATGTCACAGGCTCTAGAGAAGGTGACAATGGATTTTCAGAGCCAGCGCGAGGGATGTGATTCTGTTATCCTTTTAGCTGTCACTTAGATTCATGGCGAATAGTCCTTTTGGTCTGGGCCAAGAGGAAAGGCAGATGGGGTGGATATGCTCTTGCTTCTACCGGGAAGCAATCTTTCTCTCTTTTGGAAATGAAGACAAAAATACTAGCTATTCAGTTATACTGAACTAATGAATAGAGGAAAACGGGTCTCCTTTACCCACAGCAATTTCCAAGTGGCATGGTTTCCTGTGGGAGGTGTGTGTGTGGAGGAGATGCTTGTTCTCTGACATTTGGCTGGTTATTAGTACCTGGAAAAGATTTTACCTATCCATCTCCTTTTAATTATTTTTTCCAGTAAAATCTTGTGTGTGTGCATGGGTATGTGTGCGTGCTGTCCTCTCTAGGTGAGTTCTAATAGAGACAGTGCATAGAGGAGAATTAGAGATCTAACCCAATGAGACATCCGAAGCCACAGAGTCAGGCTGTAGGATGAAAAAGACGTCTTCTGAGACTGGGTCCTTTCTGAGACCATGGCAGTGTGGAAAGGAATCCCCGTGGTGCTCTGTCCTAAGTTGATTCAGTGTCATATAAATCATGATTTGTGTTCCTAGATAAAGACGTCAACCTCTGTCAGGAATAATATTGCCGTCTATTATTTTAACAGTACTGTGTTGGAGGAAGGGGGTAGCTGTTTCCGGAACATCAGGTATTCCCATTTTACAGGCAAGGAGAAGCTACATATCATCAAGGTCACCCAGCTGCTACTGCTGTGGTTTCCAGGGGAACCGACATCCCTTGAGAAAGACCCGGTCGAGTGATAACACCTAAATGAGTTCACCCAGATTTATGCTAATGCCTGATTTCCAAATGCCAAGTCCTTTCAGATATCCAATCTACAGATATTAACAGCGGCGTTTTCATAATCAAATGCCAAAGTGATTTGGAAAGAAAAAGCACGAGAGTCTTAGGGGCCTGGAGATGCAGTAATAAGATTTAGAGAGAAAATTCAAGGCCCCAGAGACCAGAAAAATGCATTATCCTGGCACATGTAGATAATGCCAGGAGAGGGTTGGGATTGGTGTGGCTCTTCGTCTCAACTCGAGGCAGCAAACCCCTGCCTGGCAGCCAGGCTCTGTCTGGCTGGTCTTGTAACCAGTGCCGTGTATACCCAGCCTGATACGCCACTGTCTGCCCGTGGCTTCTGGTCTTGGCCTCTGGTTCTAGTCGACAGAGGAACAAAGTAGAAGCTTCCTGCCATGGCCCTGCCCCTGCCCTGTGCCTCCTGGGGCTGATGCTGATCCTGGCGGTGCCGGATGGTACCAGGGCGGGTCTCGCCCCCTGAATCCTTTCCCCCTGACAATGCTTCTGTGACAGAGCCCGGGCCTTTGACGTCAGCCTGATAGGGAGGCGCGGACAGGGTCAGCCCTCCAAGTGAACGGGTCAGGTCACACGGGTTAGAGTTCACAGGAAAAGAAACAAGGCTTGGAAAGGCCAAAACCCACAGCAAACTCAGTGGCACATGACATAGCACTCAGCCTCGCATCCTACCTTGCGGATGGTCGGGAATTTGCCGTCGTAACGATAAAACCACCCAAAGGCTATAAGAACACAGAGAACAGGGAGATGAGCCGCAGTTCCGCTCACCCAGGGCGTCCACAGGCGGCAGCCCGGAGTCGGGACCTTAGGAAGCACGTCGGTCTGTGAGACGAACAAAAGCACTGGTGGACTCGACAGGAGGACCGCACCCTCGGTCTGACTCTCCACTCACCTGGCCTCACCTGGGTTACAGAGCAGGCCCCAGGCTTGCCTGAGAAGGGCCCTGCCAACCTGCTTCTCCCCGGGACACTGGCTTCAGAAGTCAGTGCCAGAAAACCAGAGACAGCCCTTCTGGGAGGATGAGCTTTTCTGTTGCAGTTTGCGAACGCAGAGCCCTGCTCAGAGAGAACGGGGCCACTCCTGACTGACAGCTAGTCCCTCCAGCCAAGGAATAGCTCGAGACAAAAGCAAGCCTGGGGCTCTGCCTAGAACTGCTGTCACCCAGAACAACACTGCCTTGTCTCGTGGTGCAGCCCACGTGCTCCCCTGTCGATGTTGAGAGAGAAGGCAATGACTGGGGTCGGCTCTGGAAAAGGTAGCTCAGGCTGCAGTGGGCAGAACCGCCCCCAGAAAAGCCAGATCACCAGGGCACCAGCCCCTTGCTTTTCCTAGGCCACAGCATGACATGGAAACACCTCAAACCTCAAGCTCCCTGGGCCAGCAGTGATCCCTTAAATAATCACCCACCCTGACCAGCCTGAATTCTAGAACAGGATCTTGAAAGCCTTCTGCGGGATCAAGCACTACCCACTTACTTGCTGGATCTCGGGGATATCTAGGGAGTCCCGAGGGAGAGGCCAGAGCAGCGAAGGAAGAACCTGGGCTCGGGCAGTACTTAAATATTCGAAACACCGGTTCAGTTGTTTCAGTGTGCATCAGCGGACGTTTCAGCCCGGTCACCAGGCCCGTCCTCAGGTTTTGCGTGCAGTTTTTGGACTAAGCTGGGCTTGCAGGAGCTTTGCACCCTCCCGTGGTCCCCACCACGTGCTGGCCGCTTAGAGCTGGGTGTCTTGCAGGGATAGCAGGAGGCGGCGGGCAGGGCAAGCAGAGCAGCAAGGCTAGGGAACAAAGCGGGGGCTGCAAACCTGCTCTCCCTGCTCCTCCGTGCCTCCATCCGGGTCGTCTGCTGGCTCAAGCTCAGGCTCCACTCCCTGATCAGCTACCCGGGAAAAGAGGAGGAAGCTGGTGAACGAAGCGGGGCTCGGGAGACCAAGAGGCCAGAGGTGCTTCCCAGGAGCCTAATGACCTACGGCCAGCTTCCTCTACGGGAACGGTGAGGTCAGGGACAGGAAAGGGGTTCAGATACCCAGGTCAGACTGCTTTGCTCTGGGATGGTGCGTGCAGTGTTCTCAACCTCGGTAGCTTTAGTTTTCCTATCTGTAAAATGGGGTAACAACAGGGGCCTCTGATCTGACAGTCAAGTGAGAAACCTTTTGCAGGGCATTCCGTTGACACTTGGGAAGTGAGGGACAGAGGATGGGAATATCTGAGTATTATACATGTTTGGTGCCAAGGGCTTACAATGGAAGAACAGGTTCTCCTGGCTGCTTCTTACCGCCTTGGAAACTCTGGGTTCCTGGGGAATGTCAGAGCTATGTGGGCAAGGTTGGGGATCCAGAGGAGGTGAGGAGATTCCAAAGAGTAAAGGGGAGACATGTGGTAAGGAACACATGAATTTTGACAGCACGTGGAGACTAGCAAATCATCCATTCCAGTGGCTTCCAACCTGGACTTTGGCCTCCCTAGGATTGTGGAAGGGAGTGTAGGAGTCTGCTGTGAGCTGCTTATTAATATTTCAAATATTAATTAGAAGAACTTGCCCATTCATCTATGAAAAGGCTGTAAGTTAAGTTCCTTTGCTTTTGGCTCAGTTTATGTTTACTCAACAGTGAAACATTGATGCTTTCTTGCAAGCAAGAATGACTACTTAATAAAACAATAGGAAAACAAATGACTAATTAATGGTGTGATAGGAAAAACCTCAACTTCTAAACCATGGGGTCTATTGGGGGTGAAGGCTAATTGATTGGGTCCTTGATGGAGAGAAAAACCTAGAAATATCTTATTTAAAACCTCTTCATCTCCCAAGGCTCCTTCCAGCTCTAGGATCCTTAATAACCCACCTCCCTCACTGCTGGGGCTAAAGAAAGCTCTTCTGGGGGCCTCTTGACAATCTGTCCTGGCTTGACAGAATGTTGGGGTTCTGCTGGGTCGTCATTGGGGAGGCAGGCCGTGCCCCTGGGACAGGTGGTGGCGAGAGGAGCAGCAAGTCCCACCCACATCGTTAGGATGAGGGGCTTCCTTTTCCAGGCAAGAGATGCCCCACATTCTTTCTCGTCTGTTCAAAAATGTGTGGTCCACCCCTCACAGGCACAAACCCCCGAGGCAGGTAAACCCTCTTGGCTACCTGGGCCCCCAAGCTGAAGAGTGGCCAGGGAGGAGGTGGTGATGACCTGGTCCCTGCTGGCCCAGCAAAACAGGGACTGTTCCAGCCTCCCAGGGATGGGGAGAGAGGCAGGAACTGAGCTGGCTCGGAGGCCTTCCTGCATTTCCTGACTTACTTCCAAATGAGATGAAGTTGCCGGTGCATGCGGAGATGGATGGAGCTGCCCCGGCTCAGGCAGGCAGGCTTGGGACATCAATCCCGTGCTTCATACATTCCCTTAGAAAACATTTATATCTTCAAGCAAAGGGAGAGTTCTTACTCCTTTTATTCAAGAAGATTGATTTGGTTTAAGAGCACTAAATAAAGAGCTAGCTAGAGAAAGGGTTTTTATTTTTTATAGTTCCTGAGAGGGTGTGTTTGCGCTGAAGCCAAGACCCAATTTCTAGAAAGGTACTAAATTGACTGGGATTACTTTCACAAGAAGCAATTAAAATCGATTTCTCTCCTTCTGAAGCTCCTGTTTCACTCATAAGAGCAAATTAGCTCCCTGTCTAAAACACAGATTATTCACCAGGAATTTAGCTCTGGGCACATCCTCAGCTAATACCAGATGTCGGGGGTGGGGGGTTGGAGGCTGATGAGAGCTTGCTTTGTCCTTCAGAGAAGACCCGGAGATGACACCCTGCCCCACTGCCAGGAAGGAAGGCGCTAGCGGATGTCTGTCCCGCACCCAGGGAGGGGTGAAATGGAACCATCCAGATGCCCTGCCCAACCTCTTCGTTGACCCAAGTGGCCTGTGTTGGCAAGATGATGTCCCTCTAGGGCTCGGGGCCAGAGTTGTCCAGACCCCATCGCAAGATCCCGAATGGCTGCGACAGAGCAGAGATGGGGATTCTTGGTTTTTAGGTGTAGATTCACCCCATCTCTAGAGGTCCCCAGATCAGCTGAGCACTATCAGCTGCAGTAGAACTGGCCCTTTGTCACATAAAGTGAGGGTAAGGCTCAATCCGGAATCCTGGACTCGTGGTCGCTATGGCCCCCAAGCTACCTTGCTTGGCTTCCTACCACCAGCCCACTGGGACAGCACAGAGCTTGAGCCCCCACTTTGTCCTGGTGGTGTGAGCTGCCCCGCGAAGAGACATCCGGGCAGTTGGGTTGACAGGGCAGCAGGTGGTGGAGGCCCACCCTGAAACGGGAGGTAAGAAGCCGGGACAGGTGAAGAAAGGAGGTGCTAAGGGCGGAGGGTGCTGAGGGGGATGGCCGCAGTGTGGGCCCAGGAGGGGTCTCAGTCCTCTCCCAGACTCCATCCTTGAAGGGCTGTGACCCTAGCACACACACAGGGATGCAGGTGGCAGGGGTGCCTCGGGTAAGCTCTCCCCACAGTCACCCATCAGCCTTGGACCACCAGAGTCCTCGCCAACATGAGCGCTTCCCCTCTTTCTGGCGGTCGTTGCACCCAGCTCTGACTCAGAACCAGGGAGGATGTGGACACCACACCCAGCAAACCGAGATGATGATCCCAGGAGCTGCTCGCTTTTGCCACAGCTCTCCATTCCCTGGTCAGAGCCCAAGGGCATAGGGAGAGGTCCACCTGCCTGAGTCTGTGTTGTGGGGGAGAGCCTGGCCCCGGGGACAAGGGGGCAGACAGATCCCACCCACCCCAGGACCCTGGCACAAGGCTGCCCCTCCAGGAAGAAAATGCAGCCCAGGGAGCCACGGGCTCTTCACCTGGGGAGGCGGTGGTGAGTGGAGGAAGACCAGCATCTCTGTCTAGAGACTCCCCCAACCCCCTGACCCAGAAGGAAGCCCCCTCCCCCAGCGCACGGTACGTACACTTAGGCTTGTGAAGGGGTACTGGGCGCACTTCGGCGGTGATGGTTTTAGGTGAGAGCAGCTGTTCCTTTGAGCCCCAGTCTTCTTCCCACTGCTTCTTGAACTTCTCCTCCTCTTCTATAATCCTGAAATAAGATCCTCATGCCTGTTATCGGGGTCAGGACTTATGCAGGCCCACCATCTGCCTATTGGGAAACCCTACACAGCCTGGGGAGAGGCCACACGGCTCTAGTGGTGAAGAAAACACAGACCCTGGTACTTGTAATCTACAGCGAGTGGGAATGCCAGCCTGGGGATGACAAGACCGTTTTCCAGTTACCGCAACACGATGGGCTTTCCTAGGTCTACGGAATGGCTACAAATAAAGGAGGATCCACCAGGGGACAAGAGGACCAGGCAAAGCAGGCCTGGAGGTGGCCTCTGGCCCACCACAATCCCCACACAGACAGGTGTGTGCAGACATGTGGACCCGGACACTCACTGTTCCATCTCCTTCCTGTATCTTTCATTCTCCTCTGCTGCCTTCTGGGCAATTTCCTTTTTCCTTCTGAAACACAAATTCAGATTGGCATGTTGGAGTCCATGCGAGAGAAGTTAACTCTTCTTGTAGCTAATTCCTGATTCGAAAACGGTTTAAAATCTTTCTTCCAGGCTCCCTTCCAAGGATGCCTGGACCAGATTTGGATGCCGGGGAAGCAGGTCCAACAAAATCCGGGCGCTGCGCTCTGGTGTGGTTTCGTCTGGCACTGCTGAGCAGAGATTCTGTGCTGCCAGGGATGGGAGGCAGATCAACGCATGCCACACTCTGTATGTCCACCTCCAAACACTTAGATAAAGTGACTGAGGACAGGCAGGACCTGGCTGGAGAGAGGTCCTTCGGGAGGAGGGCCGCAGGCCCCATGTAGTCAGGGCTGCTGGTCAGGGCCAGGCCAATGCGCAGAGGTACCACCAGGGCTGGTTCTCCAGGCTAATTTTGTGATGGGGAAGAGGCAAAGATCCTATCCACCTTCCTTTCCCAAATTCTTTTTACATTCCTAGGATGTATCTGGCTTTGGACTTTGACAGTAGGTTTTTTTTTTTTTTCTGTGTGTGAATTGCTCACTACATTTATTTTCTTAGTCCATCATCTCAACCAACCCCGGGAAGAGGGGGCCTTATTACCACGGACAGGTGTGAATCCCAGCTTGGCCATATGTGACTTGGTTCACAAATGGCTTAACCTCTCTGCATCCGAGGCCTCCAGACCACCACTGAACCTATGTGATCTGAGGACAGGCCTCGGTGGTGGAGGCGGGAGGCAGGATGAAGCCGGCCCAGGACACCCCGGGGGGAGGGGGAGGGGCTCTGGGGAGGCCCGGCTGGCCACACGCCACTCACTGTCGCTCCATCTCCTGCTGCTCCTGGAGGATCTTGTCGGACTCCATTGCCAGCCGCTTCTGCATGAGAAGCTCCTGCCGCTGGAGCTCCCGCTGCCGTGCCTCCTCCAGCCGCTCCCGGTCTGTCAGGAACAGCTCCCGGCCCTCAGGGAGCGAAAAGAGGCCCCTTGCTCAGCCTCCCGGGGAACCTGGGCATCCACTACCACAGCCCTGGGGATGGAGATGCAGGCTGTCTTCTTATCACCACGGCCCCCGTGTCAGGCACTGTGGCGCCTGTGGTCTCTGAGCAAGCTCCTCCTGGCTGGGCAGAGATCTCTCCCTCCGCTCCGTCAGAGCTTCAGGAATGGAGACCCTCTGGCCTTTTCCAGGAGTGTGCGGCAGACAGCGGGGGTCTGAATGGCTGGGGCTGGAGGTCAGGGGTTCGGGGGCCCCCTACCACATCATCCTGGACTTACGGCTCCAGCTACGACGGAGATGGTCAGGCTGCGGCTACTCTTCAGCACGTGCACGGCCTGGGAGGGGGGGGCAAGCGGGCAGTTGGCTGAAGCCTGACAGACCGGAGCAGTTGAGGCCTCTAGAGAGCACGGATGGTCTCAGACCCCGTGGCAGGGGGATACGCAAGAGAAGTGAAGGGCAGACAGGATACCAGCCAGCAGCTGAAGACCCCGCATCTCACCTCCTTGTGGTCCAAGCTGGAGAAGTCGATGCCGTTGACTTCGACAATCTGGTCCCCAGTCTGGTGGAGAAATGGAGAGGGATCAGCGTGTTTACACTATCTGTAAACCCACTCATCCGCAGGAAGGGCTTCCCCTGATGGCCAGGGTCAGACGTTGAGTCTTCAAGTGGCTGCACCTCAACTCTTCCTGATGAACACAGCAGTTAGAAAGCTTAGGATCCTCTCAGGGTTCCTCTACCTCAAATCTCTTCTATCAACTGTCAACTATTATACCCTTAGAGGTTCATTCCTTTGGCTTAATTTATGACATTTGCTTTTAAAACCCAGTTTGTAGACACAGAAGCCTTTGGGTTTCTCATATAGCAGAGGCTGTGTTGAGCCATAATAATAATTTGTATACTACTTAACATTCGTTGATCCCTTACTGTGTGCCAGGCACAGTGTGAAGCATATGTATGAATTCATTTAATCCACACAATGACCCTAGAAGGAAGGCTATTGCCCCCATTTCATAGGAGAGGAAACCGAAGCAGGAGTAACTTGTCCAGAGTAGAGAGTAAGAGTTCTGGCTCTGGCACCAGACCACCTCGGTTTGAATCCCAGCCCTATCACACTAGGTACATGATCTTGGAAAAATCACACATGTTTTGCAGGTCTCCATTTCTCCATCTGTAAAATGAGGATAATGACAGTACCTAATTCTCAGCGTCTTTATAAATTTTAAAGAGCTTAGAATAATGTCCTACCCAGTAAACACTCAGTGAATGTCAATTATTATTACTATATTCCCAAGCTCAGGACCAAAGGCTCTCAGGGCTGGAGAAGACTGTGGAAAGGTCAAAGGTGGGGCTTTCCCTTGGGGGTGGGTAGGAATCATCAGCCAGTGGCCGCTGAGAGAGGCCCTGTGCAGGAAGGCCCATGCCTCTGTCACTGTGTGATCATCGTCTGACCTGTCACCCCACTGGGGCCATCCCAAGGTCGCTCACCTCCAACCCCACCTCGGCAGACAGGGAGCCAGGCTTCACGTGGCTGATAAAGATGCCGGGCTTCTGGACGGGCCCACTGGAAATGCTGTGGAAGAGATGGGAAAAGCAGGTGAGGCTCTGCTCATCTCTGCAGCATTGTTCATTCTCAATGTCCCGTCCCCTCTACCTGCGTTCCCGTGCTCTGGCCCCTCAGGATCCAGGTCACCCACGAGGCTCAGTTACCTGTGGTGCTCTGCTGGTTACCTGTCCAGCCTCACTTCCCTGTGGCAACAGCCACAAAAAAACTATTTGTCATTCCCCGATACCCAATCCCTCACCCGATATATGGCACATGCAGTTTCTTCTCTCTTCCTAGCACTTTCCTAGTCATTCCTTAAGACTCAAATGCTATCTCTTCTACAAGGTTCTCACCATACTCTTTATTCTATCCCAAGCCTCAGCTAGTTGCTCCCTCCTCAGTGCTCCCAAGATACCTCCACCAAGGAGGGCATTTGTACTGTCCTTTTCCCCTCCCACACCTGTGGCAGGCATCACTAATCGATCACAGCACTCTTTTCCACCAAACCTAGATACAGCCTGAGAGTTCTTTTCAAAGTACAGTCAACCCTTGAACAACCTGGGTTAGAACTGCATGGGTCCACTTATACATGGACTTCTTAAAATACAGTGCTGTAAATGTATCTTCTCTTCCTTATGATTTTCTTTTTTTTTTTTTAAGATTTTATTTATTTATTTGAGAGAGACAATGAGATAGAGAGAGCATGAGAGGGGGGAGGGTCAGAGGGAGAAGCAGACTCCCTGCCGAGCAGGGAGCCCGATGTGGGACTCGATCCCGGGACTCCAGGATCATGACCTGAGCTGAAGGCAGTCGTTTAACCAACTGAGCCACCCAGGTGCCCCTCCTTATGATTTTCTTAACAACAGTTTCTTTTCCCTAGCTTACTTTACTGTAAGAATACAGTATACAATATGTAAAACACAAAATATGTGTGAAGCAACTGTCTATGTTATCGGTAAGGCTTCCGGGCAACGGGAGGCTATTAGTAGTTAAATTTGGGGGGAGTCAAAAGTTATGCAGGGATTTTGGACGCTGCAAGGGGTCAGCACCCCTGACCCCTGCATTATTCAAGGGTCAACTGCAGTACTCCAGGCAGCCACCACTAATTGATTAGAAATAGCACAGGACGGGAGACCGACCTGCCATCTCTGAAACAAGCCGAACATAACTCCATCAGAGTCCTTGCCATCTGTTACAGTCTCTGCTGTAACTATTCAGTGGCTGGCTTCCACGTTCACTACATTCTAGAGTGTAATCTCTTAGGAAGGAGGGACTTTTTTTTTTTATCACTTATGCTTGGCAGAAAAGTGTTGAATACATGTAAATGAATGGAAATAATATGAAAAACTTACATAATAATAGCTAACGTTTGGCAGCTGCTTACTACCTACTAAGCACTAAGCTGGTCCTTTACTTCAGTCATTTCATCCCTCCTCACAACAACTGGTTTTGCGGGTGTTCTCATCCCCAATTTATACGGGGGGAAACTAGGCTCAGAGTGGCTAAGTGACTAGGCCGAGGTTCTAGAGCTCACAGGTGGCAGAGCAGGGGTTGGAACCTAGATCTATAACTGTAGCACCTACGTGCTTATTAATAAGAACACCCCACGTGGCCCGACACCTGTTTGCAATTCCCTGGCTGCCACTTCAGGAAGCCCACAAGGTTATAAACGACAAGGGAACTATAACAGAGATGACCGGCTGGACAGGTTCCTTTTGCAGTGACTTGAGGGCCCACTGAAGGAACATGGCTCTGCCTTTGGGCCTCAGTTTCCTCATCTGTCCAATGGGCCTGTTGGAGCTGTCCCTCTGGCCATAGAGGGCTGTTGTGAAGCTCAGGGAAGAAATCAGGCTCCGAGAAGTGTCATCTCCTCAGAAGCAGCAAGGAGAAAGGGGAGAGGTGTTAGGGGTCTACTGGGGTCTACTGGCCAGGAGCGAGCCTCAGGGCATGCCTGCCACCCACCTGCAGCCAAGGCCTCGGGATCCTACCAGGCTGATGAAGACCTTCTTCTCCTTGTTTTCCCGACTGCCAGGGAAGCCCAGGCTACTCCGCCCTCCCTGGAGGAAGGATGGGATACGGGTCACTCGGTGTCCACATGTATACAAGTGGCCTCTTGACTTCATAAAGCCCTTTAGAGCAAGCACTGCTGTCCCCACATAAGACTGCTCACCATTATGTCCCTTGGGGGTTTGTCTGCACCAGCTGGGCCTGGCTGAGGGCCCACCACCCTCAGGGACATTCTGGATGCCCTGGGGGCCTGTCAGAAGCCCCTGAACGCACATCTCTGGGGCAAGCCCTCCCTTTGGGACGGGCTGTCCCTCCTTGAAGACAACCCCATCCAGACTGCATCACAGGTGGCCCTGGCCCTTACCCCAGATTCTGACACAAACTGGTCCACATACTGCCATTTGAGGGGTTCATCAGGAGAGCTGGGGGGAAGGGAAAGGAGAAGATCAGGGTCATTAGAGAGAGATGTCTAAGGAGCCAGGCTCCAAATCCCGATCTGCCCATCTGGAGCCTCCAGCTACCACTGGCCTGGGAGCAGGGCTGGCCTGGCTGAAGCCAGACCCCATAGCCGATCCCAGGACCCTGAGCCCACAGCGAAGAGCCTGTCTGCAGAGAAGGGTCCTGCTTACCTCTTCACAGGAATCAGGCCAATGTCTGTGGGAGAAAGGCATGGGGGTTAAGGACGGCTCCTCTGCCCTCCCTCCCTCCCCCAGGAGCTAGGGACCCCACTGCCTACCCCACCCTAGCCCACCCCTCCATCAGTGCCCCGTGCCCTCTGGCCTCACTCACGTCTCACTTTGATGGACACAGTCTTCTTGGTGCGGATGAGATTGATGACCTCCTCGTGGGTGCAGGAGGAGATGGAATATCCATTGATCCGGACGATCTCATCCCCAACCTTGGCCACAGACAGAGGGAATGAGCACCAGGTTGAGGGGGCATCCAGCAGCTGGACAAGCTTGCCACCAGATGCTCTGGGCATGCTCTCCAGGAAAAGGGACGATGACCATGCCTTCCCTCAGAAGAAACCTTGGGATGTTTCCTAGTACCTTGTTATAACCAACCCACTCTCCATCAGCCTGAGGGGTCCCATGGTAGTGACACATCCAAGTAGGCTTTCTGGCCCATTTTGCAGATGGGGGAATCCAACGTGGGAGACGAGAGCCACAGAGAGTGGGTAGCAGAGCTGGGACTAGAACTTGGGACCCTGTCCCCTCACTCCAGTGTCCCCTTTACCCCACTGTGTCACCACCAGGTTCTGGAACCCATGCAAAGGGCAACCCTTCACCTAGATTCAAGCAGCTCTCCCGTGGCCTTTGTCCCACCCCGCCCCAAGGAGCAGGCTCTCCTGTCCTTGTTAATCACTGAAACACCACAACTGAGTCAGGGTGAGGAACTTCCATGATTCCTGACTCAAGTTCACATCACTGGCACACACACGATTTCTTTCTTTCCACTCTATGGACGCTCAGGGGACATTTTAACTCTGCCACAGCCCTGACCTCTGAATTCCAATGCTGGGAGTAAGCAAAGAACAGTGAATAAACACAAGGCTTTGGCATCAGATGACCTGGATTCAAACCCGTGCTTCTATTCTTTTTTTTTTTTTTTTTTTTAAGATTTTATTTGAGAGAGAGCATGAGAGTGGGGTGAGGGGTAGAGGGAGGAGCAGACTCCCCGCCGAGGAGGGAGCCCGATGCTGGGCTCGACCCCAGGACCCTGGGATCATGACCTGAGCCGAAGGCAGATGCTCAACCGACTGAGCCACCCAGACGCCCCACCCCTGCTTCTACTCTTATTAGCTGAACGACCTTGGGCAGTTCTCTCTCTTTTTAAAATTTTTATTACTCAAAAAAATCTTCATTTTTTATTTAGCTTTCCGACTCTATGCTTGTGTCTCTAGCACTTTCACAACAATTTTCTGCTCTTCAATAAGGAAAGCCTGCTTGATCCCGTCACAGACACATTTAGCACACATGGAAGCACCATCAGCCCTGCTGATGTGTTTTTTTTAACCTTAGACAACCTCCTATGAACTGTAGGTGTCGAGGCGTCTGGCTGGCGCAGTCAGTTAAGCATCCGACCCTTGCTTTCGGCTTGGGTAGTGATCTCAGGGCCCTGAGATCCAGCCCCGCATCGGGTTCTGCGCTCAGCACGGAATCTGCTTGTCCCTCTCCCTCTGCTCCTACCCCCTCGCTCTCTCAATCTCTCTCACTCTCTCTCCTGCTCTCGCTCTCTTGAGTAAATGAATAACCTTAAAAAAAAAAAAAAAGAACTGTAGGCATCACAGCACAAATGCCTCGAAGGTGGCCTGGGCACACGCCACATGTGGAGTTTGGAGCCTTCCCAACCTTCTTGGTCTGAAGATAAATGATTCTATTAGCAGGGGTTCGAGACGGCCTCATTTTGTTCGAGATTGTACTGTAGAAAAGCCTACGACGATATGCCAAACGCTGGAGCATTTGGAATGCCTACGGATGCTGTCCCCAGAAGAGGAAAAAGGACCTTGGGCAAGTCTCTTGAACTTTCTGAACCCCAGTTCCTCTCATCTGTAAACTGGGGAAATGCTCCGGTTGCTGTGAGAATTAAGCAAGCATGTCCGTGTAAAGCCTGCCAGCACCTGGCATACAATCAGTAATCAGTACATAGTCACTATTGTTATCATTTGTCGAGCCTAGCCCTAAATACTCCTACCCTCTTCGCAGGACTTTAGGCCTCACTGGATTGGGAGAGACAGGGGCTCACGGGTCTGCAGGGTCAACCTGGTCACAGATCTGTGGTGAGCTGGAGGCTGCTGTGGGCCCTTCCAAGAGCCTTGGCTCTGGGGATCAGTCCTGAAGCTCCTCACTTCAAAGCTGTGGGGCTAGAAGGATCCTCAGACATCAGATGAAATTGGGGCCCAGGGAGGTGATGTTTTGTGTAATGTCACATGGCCATTAGCTGCAAAATAGGGACTGGATCTTGGATGCCCCTCTTCTCCAGCTTGAGGCCAGCCCAAGCCAGCTGGCGGCTTCACTCACACCATATGTACTGTCCTTTGGGGACTTGTTGGTACATGTGGGGGACACAACTTGACTCTGTGGGGTCCGAGAGCTGGGCAGGCACACAGCCTGTGAGGGGTTCAGCTAGGCCAACTCCCACCGTCTCCAACATCCCTACAGAGCAACATTCTCGAAGCTGCCACCTGAATGCTTCCCTTCCACACCTCAGCACAGACCCCAATCTTCTCAGGGACCTGATGAGAGTCCCTCAAAAGGGGCTCAAAAAGGTGCCAGAGGGAGGGGCTCACTAAAGAACTCTCTGGTTTCTGGGGACACCTCATGTGAGGAGAGCAGCTGGGCTAGCTCCTTGCATCCACTTTTTTTTTTAAGATTTTATTTATTTGAGAGAGAGAAAGAGCACAGAGGGAGAGAGGGAGAAGCAGACTCCCCACTGAGCAGGAAGCCCGATGTGGGGCTTGATCCCAGGACCCTGGGATCATGACCTGAGCCGAAGGCAGACACTGAACCAACTGAGCCACCCAGGCACTCCTTGTACCCATTTTTTATAGCAACTTTGTTTCTGTTAATCAAAATGAGGAAACCGAGGCTCAGAGAACGCAAGTGAATTGCTCAAGGTCACCTGGTTAGTACAGCATTGCTGGGATTTGAAGTCAGGTCTCCCCTACTGACAACAAGCGTTGTCTCTTGGGCATCTGGAAGCAGAGAGGAGGGGCACCTGGCCAAGCCTGGCTACAGTTCCCCGCATCCTGTCCTCTCTGGATTCTTGCCACCTGTCACAGGGGACCTCAAGTCCCATAGGAAAGGCAGAGATTACTCTGCCCATTTTATGGGTGGGACAACCCAGGCACACAGAATCCTCTAGCCCTGGATGACAGAGCATGCTGTGCAGAGCAGAGGGCCTAGCTTCTGACAGGACACACCCGAAAAAAAAACCTAACATATATCCAGTAGGTGAACCAAACAGGTCAAATCAGCAGGGCCTTCAGTCCAGCCAGGCTGTGTCTGAACATGTCTCTCCCCTGCCTTCCAGAATCTTCTCCTGTCTTCAGATCTCAGGCATGAGAGCTTCCCAGAAACATGAACCCCAGACAGGCGAATGGAGGCGGATGTTTTGCCCAAGCTCCTCTGAGTGAGGTTCCCTGTCTTGTTCCTAAAGGGAACCTGTTTGGGACCCCAGTCAGAATGATTCCCACACAGCCCCTGGCTCAGGCTACACTATCAGCTTTCCTCTCGTTCTCGCTCCAGCGTGGGGCCCTGCAAAAGGCCCTTTGTGCGAAGGCCACAATGAAATGACGATCTGAGGGACAGGGGCACAAAGGACAGATGAGCCTGTCAGCCCAAGAAAGAGAAGACAGTTTATAAGCCTGAGAAACAGGTGGGAAGGCAAAACTCTAAGTTTCATGAAAATGCCCCGATGTCCCCAATCATGGAGGCATTGTTGAGAAATGCTTGTCCTAGGAGGAGAGTTTGCCTTGGAAAAAAAAAAAAGAGGGCCTCGGTCCAAGAGAGGAGCTCATTATGTTTTTTCTCTGGCTGTGTTTCTGGGCTGGAAAATGTGCCCCACAGGAGAGGAGTAATGAAGTGGCTGAAATTTCAGCCGCCACTGGCGAGCGGTGAGACGGATTTAGAACAAAGCAATGTCTGTCAGCTCCCACTAACCACCTCCCGCTCCACGGGGTCTGAACCATAAATCGAGCCCCCTGAAGCCCCTGTCTTGGCAGCCTGATTACAAACATGCTGGCAGCTTTGGGGGGGTGGGGCTGGGAGGGCCTCTTCAATCTGGACATACAAAAACACAGCTCTGGGCTCCAGGAGGAGCGAGATCTGGAGGTCGGCCCATCTCGGCTCGGACACGGAGGTGTGGGACCCCAAGGGAGAGGCACCTGGGGTGCTGAAGAGACATCCCTGGGCTTGGCAGTCAAGAGACCTGGGTTCAGATCCTGACTCTGCCACTTACTGCCTGTGACTCTAGTCAAGTCTCTGAGCCACTATCAACTCTGTAAGATGGGGATGATATGAGAACCAGTTGTGAGCACGTTGCCTGGCACACTGTAGGTGTTTATTAAATCTCCCTCTCTGCTTATTTAACAAACACACAGCACTATGTGTTGAGCACTTGCATAAGTACTTTATAATACGAATTCACTTATTCCTTATGACAACCTGATGAGATAGGGAGTGTTACCATTATCCCCATTTTACAGATGAGAAAACTGAGGCATGGGGTTAAGTAAGTTCATCATAGTCCCATAGCTCATGAATAGAAAAGCCAGGAGAGTCTGGCTCTGGGGGTCCGTGCTCTTAAACACCACACTACACTGGGATTTCCTTTTCCCCCCCAGTAAAAGGCCACACGTCCAAAGCTTCAGGTGCCAGGACACAACTATGCTCCTCCTTCAGGAAGGGCGGGGGGGTGAAACGCAGTAGGCAGGTTCCCAGCGTGACTGAAGAAAACAGGCAGTTGCCTGCAGCCTGATTTCTATGGGCCTGAAGCAAATCTGTCAGGATGTGTCAGCCTCTTCCTCCCCCAAAGTCTCAGAAAGGTGAGGTGACCACGTTCTGCGGGGAGGCAGGAAGCCTGAGGCCCTGACCCCCCATTCCGCTGGACTCTGCTCGCTCACCTGGAGCCCGACACTGTCTGCCTGACTGCCTTTGATGAGGTGGGAGATGAAGAGCCCGCAGCCGAACTCGAGGCCCCCACGAACGCTGAGGCCGAGGCCTTCGGGGTGCAGACGGTCCAGACGCACCTCCTTCAGCTTCCTGCCACAGGAGAGGTCAGTGATGGCCCAGTGCTGGCCTGACTGCCACCACTGACCCATCCAGTAGTGAGTGACCCTGTCCATCCCAGGTGACCTCTCCCACCCCTGCCTCCTGCCGGCGCCCTCTGTACCTGGAGCGCCGGGGCGTCAGCTGGTCGTACTCCACCTGGTGCTTCAGAGGGATCAGGGGCCTGATGGCGTCAAACAGTGGCAGGCGGCTAGGCTCATTGATGACCAGCTTCAGGTCTCCCACAAGCACGGTCACATCCATGGTTCTGCAGAGACACGGGGAACACCTGGAGCCTCACCCATGGCCATGGCTTCTGACACCCAAGGGTTCCCAGAGGAAGCGGTCCCAGGCTGGGTCCCCACCCACTGGGTCCAGGCCCTGGAAATGGAGAGAACGCTCCTGAAAAGCCCAGAGCCCCTAACTCTGGGCCAAGTGCCTCATTCTTTCCCATTAAATGTCACAGGGAAACTGGCGAGGTAGGGATTGTTAACCCATTCTACAGATGAGCTCAAGCCAGGATTCAAACTCAGCTCTGCCTAATTCTGAAGCCCAGGATCTTTCCAGTCAGGAAACTTCGTGGGAGATGCTGGTGACCCCTCTTGTACCCTGGTCTCCCACTTCTGCTCCGCAGCTAAGCTCTGTCAAGTCTGCCCTCATAGTATCTCTCACATGACTCCTCATCCCGTTCAGACCCTCAGCATCTCTGGCCTGCACTTCTCCAGCTGTCACCGACCTGCTCACGCTCGTCTAATATTTTCTAAATGTAAGTCACTCCCCTTCTCAAAACCCTTCAGTGGCTCTCCACTGCTCAGAGGCCACCATCCATGCTCCTCGGCAGGCTCAGGGCCTCCATGACTCTCTACGGAGCTGCTCCAGGCTCGTGGCTGTTCATGGTCTCTGTGTGCCCCGAGTTCTACTCCCCCACATTACTTGTCACTTCCCATTTGCACCCTGTGCTTTCATGTCTCTGCACCTGTGCTCATATTGATCCTCCAGCCTGGAATGTCCTTCTCTGATATTTCCATCAACATCCTTCTTATCCTTCAAAACCTAGCTCACGCCTTCTTGGTCCTCCCTCCCCCGATTGGAAGCAAAACTCCTTTCTTCACACCTGGCTTTTACTTCACCTTAGCAGTTATCTTCCTGCAACTTCTATTAGAGCTCTTTGTGTTTGTAGAGTCTGTATACTCCCCCCACTAGGCCACGAGTTACTTGAAGGAAGAAAGTAGATCTTATTCATTTCCAGATTCCAGCAAGCAGTAGGAGCTTAGAAATGCATGCTGAATGAATAAAGAAGCAGGTGAATGACAAGTGACAGATCGGACGTGCGGCTGGGGGCAGCTGGTATTTCTTGTTCTATCTCAGCAATCATATTCTGTTGAGCCTATCTGGCTACTTGACAGCCTCCCTCACTGGTTTACGAGCAACCTGGGGGCAGCGACCAGGCTGATGTGTTCACTCGTGTACCCTCAGCTCCTAGCACAGAGCATGTACTGAGTAGTTGAGTAAATATTTGCTAAGGCAAGTGAACGGCGTGTCCGTTTGATTCCCACTGAGCATCTGCCCCCCTCCCAGAGTGCCCCAGGATGGGAAGGGGGGGTTCCCGTCTCAGAACAACCCATCCCAGGGCTCCCTATAGACAGGGGTACCCGGGTGGTCCATAGGAGCTGGACCCGCACACTTACTGGTGATACATCCGCAACACGTCATACAGATAGTCCTTCTCTGCATCATTTTCAATCAGAAAATCCACCTAGAAAACCCAAGGGCAGAATTCTAGTCCTAGGCCCAGCACGCCCGTAGCAGACCCCAGGGAGGGGGAGGCCACCTCCACTCCCCAGCATCTCTACAGGGCTGGGGCTGCAAGAGGAGGGCCAGGCTGGTCCTCTGACCCCATGAGCCACATGCAGATCACCCCAATGTGGCCACAAGAGTCTCTCTGCACATCCGGATTTGGCCAGGCTGAACCTCATCCCCAGGGGGACGCACATTCATATGCACACACGTGCCTCTCCCATGACAGTGATGCACCCCCATGGCAGCAGTGTCGCTGCTCACCCCCGTGGCCATGTCACCAGGGTCTAGAGTGGCCGTGCCAGGGTCAGCGCCCCGGTCTGGAAGAAGCCCACTGTCTTACCTGATGGTGGCTGTAGTGCCGGATAACTGCTTTCAGAAAGGATTTGGGCCACTCGCTCAGATAGCACATCCCACCCGCCAGAAGCCCCCGACCGTCCTTCTGGGTCACCAATGCTAGGGGCAACTCCGCCCTGTCCTGGCCTGGCCAAGGCTGGGTTGGCCCCGACTTCTGTCCACTAGTCAGCCTCCTGGCCACTCCTTCACCTCTCCAGGCCCCTTCAGTCCCCCGCTTCCCCCCCAGGGGGAGAGTCAAGTTACATCATTTCAGGTTTGCTGACGTCAATGGCTGGGACTCCAAGGTCAGGGTCAGGAGCTGTTTCATTAGCACCTCAATCCCAGGGGACCTGGTGGGTAGAAGCCCCCAATTCCCCCCCCAGAGACAGTGCAGTGTGAATTTCTACACTCGGTATCCTTGGCTCTCTTTAGCCCAAGACTGAGTAAGAGGGCAAGAAGAGCTTCAGGCTGGGAGGCGGGTGGGGAGGCTCTGAGCTGTGCATGGTCAGGAAAGACATTACAAGACAGGGCTCGGACTCCCCTTAAATGAAGGCAGCGTTCAGGTGCGAGGAGGCAGGGCAGTCTTGCATGAGTCTGTGACCCACTCTTTTGTGACCAGTTGGAACCGAGCTAAGAGGGACAGATCCAGGAGGCTGTGGCAGACATGTGCTGAGGAGTGTTGGGAAGGTGGTGACCCAGGGCTGAGCCAAGAGGATAGAAGAAAGGCTCTAGACTAGAGCAGATGGAGTGCGTTCATCATTCAGTAGACACCACTGGGCACTTCGTGCCTCTGCGTGGCACGGTGCTGTCGAAGACCTACTGTGTGCCAGGGGCTTTACACTGAGCACCAGGTGTCAGGAGAATGGCACAAAGCACCCTAGAGCAGGGGCTCCCTGAAGCCGGTCCTTGGACTGCTCCTTGTTCGCTCATTCAGGCCATACTCTCGCTTACTGACTGCCAACCGTGTCTGAGGAACTTGACGTGAATTATCTTTAACCTTCCAACAAACCTCTGACGTGCATGGATAGTACCATCCCCACCTGACAGATGAGGAAAGATGGGCCCGAAGAAGCAGCAGAGCGGAGACTCCAACTCATGCCCGCTGGCTCCAAAACCTCTGCCTTTTTCCTAACCACCACATAGTATCCACTTACCAGATAGAACTTTTTGTATGCGTTTGTCTAATACACATTTATTGAGCACCTACTGTGTGCAAGACACTGTGTCTTCTTTTTCTAATTAGATTTAAGAAGCTTTTCCTTTTCAGGGCACCTGGGTGGCTTAGTCGGTTTAAGCATCTGCCTTTGGCTCAGGTCATGATCCCGGGGTCCTGGGATGGAGCCCCCAGTCCAACCTGCCCCCTGCCCCCACTTGTGCTCTCTCTGTCAAATAAATAAATAAAATCTTAAAAAAAAAAGTTTTTTTTTCTTTTTCTTGGATCTCTCTTGATATGGGTACAGAAACCCTAAAGGAGCCTACCACCTATAAAGACTTTATCATCTCAATCCCTCCTTCCCGGCCCACCTTGTGTAGGATCCCCTCCGTCCCATAGCAGCATTCTCTGGCTGAGTGGGCTCTCTGCTATCAGTCTATATGGTGGGGGGAGAGGGGGTTCAGGCCCCTTGTCTGGGACACTTGAGGCAAATTCTGGGTTTAGCCTTGGGCCCTATCCAGCCTCATTTCCCAGCATTCCTCCATTTGGACTGGCCCTTCAGGACAGCCGCACGCACGGGGGGAAGCAAACAACATTCAGCTCATGCAAATACAACTCCACGTGTGCACCCAGCCAGCCAGCGAGAAAGCAAGCAAGAACAAATCAAATAATGCATGTTGTTCCACCCGAGGAACATCTGCCCTCCTCAAGCTGTTGTGGGGATTAAATAAGTGAATAGATACAAAGTACTTCCGACAGTGCCCAGGGCTCCAAGATTTCCAGGGCTCGGAAATGTGTGCTGCATTTCTTCCTCTGTGCCCCCAGACCCACTCTGCAGCCTTCTGCGTGCTGCCCTATGTCCCAGGAGGCTTTGCCTGGGCTCCCTGCCCTCTGACACCTGGCCGGGGGTGAGAGGGCCTGAGGAGAAAGGAAATGGGCTCTGACTCCCCAGCTCGCTCTCTGCTGGATCATCTTACACGCAGGTCTGAGCTTCTCTGGGCAGCCATGGCTGCCCCCCCCACTTCCTTTGCCCCGTCGGGAGCACCTGGCCTCCTCTGCACCCCCCGGGCCCCGTTACCACACCTTGTTGGCTCCTGTGTCCCTGCCCTTCATAAAACTCTCTTCAGTTTCCCGTTTGGCTGAGCCGCATGCTGCCTCGACCCTGGCTGGTGCCTGTCCTGTCATTCTCTGTGCAGATGACACCACTTTGTTCCCACCTCTGCCATGGCACTTGCCAAGCTGTGTTGTACGTTCTCTCTTTACCCTCCCGTCTGCCCCCTCATCTGTGTGTGGCCCAGACCCAGGCCTGGGAGGAGTGCGCCGGGCGAGGCCAACAAGCCCCTTCCCCACCTGGGTCTGCACTTCTCTCTGCTTCATTTTCCTCATCTGTAAAACGGGGATAAAAGTACCTGTTTCATAAGCTTTCATCCTTCTCTGAGCGATTAAGCATCGTTTTTTTAATTATTCCTTGACTTAATAATCATTAAATGCTTGGCACAATGCCTGGCAAATAGTAAGTTCTCAGTGTTTTTTAATTTTATTTAACTAAATGAGTGAGTGAGAATAAATGAATACAGATTCTATATTCTTAGCAGCTGGCTGACTCTGGGCCCTCATAAATGTTGGTGGGATGAATGGATCCAGCCACACTTCCTCCCAGGCCTTCACAGCATGCATCCTGGGTAGTACTGGGTATATTTGACTCTTGTTTTATTATTCTTCATCTTTTCAAGGCACTTGTGTCCTGCTAGCTAGTTGGTGGCATTTGACCCAGTGCTTAGCACAGCTGATCATGCCCTCCTTCCCCTGCTTCTCCTACCTCACTTGCTGTTCCTTCTCCTCGTTCTCTCCTCTAAAGGTTGGGGTGCTCTGGCTCTGTCCTGGGCCTTCTCTTCATCTGCACCATGTCCCTAAGTGACCTCATCAGTCTGGGGGGTTGACTACCATTTATTCCTCAGGAACTCTCTGAGGCTCCAACATAGATCTCTCCCCACCATCTTCAGACTCCCACAGCTACCGGCTTCTTAGTCACCTCTCTGCTTAATGGTTGAACAGGCATCTCAAACATAAAACATTCAAAATGGAGTTCTTGGTTTCCGCCATCTCCCCTCTTGTCCCCACCAACCTGCTCCTCCCAAAATGTAGACTCCCTCTTGATGCCTCTCTCTCCACACCCACAGCTGACCATGAGCAGAGCCTGTCAGGTCTACCTTTTCTTGAGTTCTGGGTCTGACCACTCCTCATGCTAGTCTAAGCCCCCATCTCTGGCCTGGGCTGCCGCAGGAGCCTCCTGTCTGGGGTCCACCTTCTGCTCCTGGTCCCCTCAGTCTGCTCTCTACCAGCACTTGTAACAATCCCTTTTAAATGTAGGCTTCCCAGGGCGCCTGGGTGCCTCAGTCGTTGAGTGTCTGCCTTCAGCTCAGGTCATGATCCTGGGGTCCTGGGATCAAGTCCTGCATCAGGCTCCCTGCTCGGCGGGAAGCCTGCTTCTCCCTTTCCCACTCCCCCTGCTTGTGTTCCCTCTCTCGCTGTGTCTCTGTCAAATAAATAAAATCTTTAAAAATAAATAAATAAATGCTGGCTTCCCATCACTCTAAGAACCCAAAGTCCTGACCAAGGCCTTCAAGGCCCCCACCCCACTCTCATCCATCCCCCATTACTCTTCAATCCATAATTCCTCTCAGAAACACCATCATATCTGCTGTTCCTAAGGCAGGGCCTTATTGTTCCCTCTTCTTGGAATATTCTTCCATATATATTCCCATGGCTCTTTCCCTCACTTCTTTCTGGATGTCTGTTCAAACATCACCTCTTCAGAGAGACCTTCCTGACTACCATCCGGTTGCTCTCTCTCCTCTCACCCCAGTTTATTTTTTCATAGCATTTGTCACTACTTTGTGTTCTATGATACTTGAGCTGGTTTCTTGTTAACTGTCTGTCTTCCCCACTAAGGAGCCGGGGACTTTATTACTCAATGGTTACAGTACTGTTGGGCATATATTAGGAGCTCAGTCAACGTTTATTACATGCATGCATGCATGATTAGCAAAACACTGGAAGGCAGGGGCTCTTTCTGACCTCCTTATTTATCCCCTCTTCCCACCCCAGGGGCCTGGCCTTGGCCAGGGTACACTACAGATATCCATAAATGCATGATTGTTGACCAGGCAATAAAAACTTTTTTGAGCAAATGAGTAACCAAGTTCCTGCAACGTGCAGGTGCAGTGAGCAGAGGGGGAGCCTTCTTTAGAAAATCTGGATCTTCAGGGAAGAGGCTTAGTCTCTGATGCTCCCCTCCCTGCTCCTTGGTATCCTGCCCCAATGCTGTTCCTGGGAAGAACTTGCAAGTGCTGCTGATGTCCTTGAGAAACTGCATCAGCCCAGAGGAACAGACTCTACTCACCAGCCTGGAGCCTACTGGCTCCTCCAACAGGATGCTGTGCAGGTATGTGCAGGGGGCTGTGGACCAAATGGTTACTACAGGCCCAGAGTAGCCAGTCCTTGAATTCCTATTTAGTCCTAACGGTCCAGTGAGGTAAGCACTCTGAAGCTCATCTCACAGCTGAGGACACGAGAGCTCAGAGAGATTAAATGACTTGCCCAAGGTCTCACTGGCAGTGAGTGGCAGGGCTGAGATTTGTCCCCAGTTCTGCCTAACCCCAGATAATAGACAACAACAATGGGATTTGTTGAGGACTCTCTAAATGCCAGGGTCTATTTAAACTCCCTACGTGCATGTAGATCTCATCCAACACGCACAAGAACCTTACTAGCTAAATACTATTGTTTTCCTCATTTAACAAATCAAAGAACTGAGGTATGGAGAGGTGAATAACTTGCTCAAGGCCACATAACACGTTCCATGACAATATGCCACCTGTCATGCTACCTCCAACAACTAAAGATTTAGGTTACAAACCATTCCCCATGGGTAAATGTGCTCTGCAACGCTAAGCAAGGGACAGCTAGAAAGCAATCAACAGGAGCTGTAAATTTCACCCAGTATGGCTGTGTGCTCCCATCTGTATCCTCTGCTGCTTTGTCCTCTCTCCCCAGTTCCTAGATGATCTCAACCTGGGAGGGCAAGGCTGCTGCTGTCTCGGAAGCAGCAGGGCACAAAGTCCAGCCTGGGGCCTTGCCCAGCCTGGTGTCTGCCCCGCCTGCACACACAGGGGCATTAATAGGTAATGACTCTTGTGATGAGGAAGAGCAGGGCAATGGAAACACAGAGGCTTGAGGCCCGTTGGAGCCTGCAGGGCCTGGAGAAGAGAAACAGAGGCTAATTCCAGGGCGCAGACACCAGGGACCCCAGAGGTAATTCTCGAAAAAGAGGCAAAGACTAGTACCCATAGAGAAAAGGCAAAAGAGGACCTGATGTTACTTTCTGCCCAGGGGCAGGAAACTGAAATTCAAGCCTGAGTCTTGGGGGAGGGGACAGGAGGTTGTGTTCCTTCAAAGTGGGTTGTCTGAAATCTACACTCACCAAATGTCCTCAGCAGCTGAAATTTCTCTCCTCACCTCCCTGTGCAACAGGATGCCCTGGTGGATACTGTCTCGTGCTCCCCTTGCTATTCGCCAGCGCCCAAACTCCCGCTGAACTTCCAGCTCTCTGTCACTCTTAGAATACCCAAGGCCTCTTTTTTAGGAAACTTCAGTCAGTATGAGCTTCCCCCTTTGTACCCCACCAAACCTTGACCCCAACACTCAGCACCCAGCCATGGGTAATTATTAGTGTGAGGTCTGCCGCCCACCTGCCCAGCCAGCAATTTGAGGACACAGATGAGTTCTAGCACAGAATGAGTACTCAAAATACATTTATTAGGTGAATTACTGCCCCCTGGCCCTTAGCTCCTGTGCCCCCCACATTGGCTGGCTATTCTGGTTCCCCTGGGCCTCTCTGTGGGGAGAGAGGGATTAAGCACCCTGACCCTGCCTACCTGAGCTCTACCCCCTCAGGCCTCAGAAGAAGTTTGGCTCGGTCTAAAGACACTGCCCCTCTGGGCAATGTGAGGGTGTCGAGGACCCAGTCACCTGTCCCTCAGGCACGGCCTGTGGGTAGCTCTAGAGACCCCTGGCCTCACCCTTGGGCTCTGAAGCACCCTGAGTCCTGGCGGGGAGGTCCACTGGGTTACCTCCAATGGTCCTCTCTGGCCTCAGGGCCTCAGCAGCTCCTGCACAGCTCTGGAAACAGTTCTGGAAATGCCCTGGGTGAAATCCAGGAGCTTTCGGTGAGGGCCTCTGAGAATCCTGGACCATCCCTGAGGTGCCTTACTGGGACACACCAGGGGAGATGTGGCTCTGTCTGATGACTCTGGCTGACTCTCCCTACTTCCTCCCTTCCTCCCACTGCCCCCTGGTCAGCACCAGTTCCTCAGCTACTTCTCAGGCCCTAAGAAATGCCCTGAAGCGGGGGCTCCCTAAAGTGCTTCTAACTTGTTGGGTTTTTTTTTTTTGAGGTCAAAGGACAGAGAGAGACACCAGTTTCCCTTCCCACCAACCCCCACCTCTCCGACGCGGTCCCATACCCTCTCCATATGCTCCAACAGCCCTGAGCTTGGGGCACTAGGAGCTGGGATTTGCCCACTATGAGGCACGTCAGAGAAGCGTCCTGTCTCAGGTCAAGGCAGGAAGGCGTTCCAACCCCAGAGAAGTCCCAGCCCTGGAAGGCGGAAGGAGAAAGGACACTTTCTGAAGATCGGTTTATGGGTTACTACGCCTGGAGTCCGAGTGCCCCCACCCTTATTTTACTGGGGATCCCTGCTGGAAACCAAACAACCCTCAGGGGTCCCAGTCCATTCACAGGCCTAAGGCCGGGCTGGAACGGGGCGGGGGGGTGGGGAGCGCCGGGTATGTCCATCCCCCACCAGTCTGCCAGGACTCCGGGGTCCTGAACGCTTGAGGGGTCCCTAGCAGCTCTGACCTTGTGCCGGAATTCTCGAGCCACCTTCCGGTCCATGGCTGGGCCAGATCGAGCCGCGTCGCTGCACAACTCGCCCCTTCGGATGCGCAGCCGCCCCAAGCCGGCAGGAACCACAGCGGAGATCCGCGGGGCCTGGGAGCGGTGGGGGCGGGGCCTGGGGCGGGGCTGCTGGGAGGCGCGAGACTCCGGTACTGAAGCTTGTCGCCTCCCACCGACAACGCCGGAGCAAAGGGCCTGCAGTGCGTGTATGTGGTGCTGGTGGGGTGGCGGTGATTGGACTCCAGGCGGGCGCTCCCTTTGGAATGATCCCCAGACACAGGCGGTTGAGGGAGAGGATCTCGGGAGGCGTGGGCAGGAGGTTTGAGACTTTTTTGTGGGGGTCGGAATACTTTTTTGAGGAGGTCCTGAGTTCTCACAACGGTGGGTAGGGATAACTATGGATGCACAAATAGAGGCCCATTTGCGCGCTCCTGAGGCTTTCGCCCCCTGCCAGCCATCTCACCTCCAGAGTACATTCTATAATGGCCTTCTCCATGGGCTTATTCCCAGTCGGAAGAAATCTTTGATCTGTGAATTCCTTGAGGCTGTGTCGTACATCCACAGAAGCCTGAACCAGTGGGTGGCAGGCAGTGTCCCTCCGGAACCGACTTCCCCCCCTCCCACCTCCCTAGCCCAATCCCACTCCAAACACACACACACACACACACACACACACACAGGCGTGGAAGGGCCTGGCAGGGACAACCTGATTTACTGCTGACATTTACCCAGGGCCCAGACCCCATTTGGTTCATTTGATTGAATTCAACCAGAATTTGTTCAACTCCTAGGTCTAGTGCTGGGGTGTGAAGACAATGATGAATCAAGCCTGAGACAGACTGAGAGGGAAGAGGGGGTCAGAAGAGGGATGATAAAAATAGGTGTGAATGGGAGAGAGTGGGACCTTCAATCATGGAGCTAGTGCCTGGATTTAACCCAGGGTGGGGCCCTGACCTGTTTGCACCATGTCAGGGGACAAGGGACAGGGAGATGGACAGCAACCCAAAATAGTGAACCACTTACAACTAACTTCAGGAACACCTAAAGACCCCCCTCCTTTTCATCTTATCTTATCCCCCAATAGCTGGAATTTTGCCAATAGACTTATTTTTATTGGGGCTAAATTATTGCCTAGTTTAGGATGTGAATCCTTCCTGGAGGTTCTTTAAGGTTCTTACCTTAAAATATTATCCATGTTCTCACCTTAGTATTAACTAGTTAAGTCGAGATAAAAGGGGAAGACTTGTGGGATTTTCAAAGGTCCAGGAAAGACACTCAAAATATATCCCCCCTCCAGCTTTCTTTGTTGATTCTCTACATCTCTTTACTAAGTCATATGGCTGTTCCATCACAGTTAGGATCCAGGCAGAGTGGCAAATGGCCTTAAAAGGGGAATGCAGTCCATGGCCACCTCAATCCTTTTCCATGACCAGCACCCCCACAGGCTCTCTCCTTTAAATGTTTTGAGGACAGCACTGAGGCCTCGCTCTCCTCTCCCATGAATGTTCCTTTTCAAGCTTCCCCTGCCTTCATCTATTCCCTAACCAGGGTTCCATCCTTGACTCCCTCCCCTTCCTCTCATCGATGCATATCAAATACTCTGTGTGGGGATGTGTGCTTTATCTACCACTATATTCCCAGAACACTCTGTGGTAAGAAATAGATGCTCAACAAATTTGTTGAATGGATGAATGAATGAATGCATTCTAAGTCTATATCCCTGCCTAGGGGTCTCCTGGGGCCACCGCCATCATCATCATCATCATCTCATAATTATCTGCAAGGCTTGCACCCGGTTGGTGTTCCAACACTTAAGTGGCCGAGAGAATCCTGCACAGGTTCCCAAGGCTTCCAAGCCCACGGTTCCAGCATTAAAACATTCCTCCTGGACAGAGGGTGTATCTTGTTCACAGAATTGAAGTGGTCTTTGTTTGTTGGTTGGTTTTGTTGTTGTTGTTTGTTTTGTTGTTCTTGCTGCTGTTGTGGTTAAAGTCTGGTCGTGAGGGGAGCCGGAATTTGGGAGTGTGACGCACTTCTGTCATTCAGTCAACACTTTTGAGCCAGGGCCTGAACTAGTGCTGGACGTGCAGAGGACTAAGTCACGGTCCATTCCCTAGAGGTGCTCAAAACTGGGGGTAGAGTAGGGCCTTGGGGCCCCGGAAGCTGTAGTGCAGAGTGGTGGGAGCACAGACCAGGATTCTGCAGACTTAAGCCTTGGTTCTGCCACTGACAACTGACCACTGAGTGGCATGTCCCAGGGCCTCTGTGAAAGGAGAGTGGAAGGCCAGACTCACACAAGCATCTTGGGTGTCTGGTGGAAGGGCCTTCCAAGACCCAGGCTTCTAAGTTGGGGATCTTTGAGGAGTGAGGGATGTTGGGGGCTGCACTGTCTACCTCGTTGCTCCCCCAGGGTACTTAGGGCCCAGTGATCTGAATCCAGCCCCTCTGGGGAGGGGCGGCACAGGTTGAGAGGGGCAAAGGCTGGGCCATGCTCCGGCGCCTAAGTTATGGTAATGAGCCGGGCAGTCCTGTCACCCTAGCTCGGGGAGGAGCCAAGCGCCTGGGAGGAGGGGCCGAGGGAGCCGGGGCCAGAGAGCCAAAGGGACCGCGGCCGCAGAGTGGAGGTGTGACCCTGCGGCCACAGGGACAAGCACTCGGGCCCCCGGCCCTGAGCCCAGGCTTCCCAGTTTCCGTGAGCCCCATGGGGTCCCCGGCCCCGCGCGCCCCCACGCCGGCGCTCTGCCTGCTTCTGGCCTGTGTCTGGCTGCCCGGGGGTGAGCCGGCCGGCCAGTCCCTGCGGGTGCAGTCTCTCGGTGAGAGGGGTGTGGACTAGGGGAGACCGGGAGCTGGAGGAATGTTTAGGGGAACGGGCCAGCCGGGCAGGTTCTAGAGAGGGAGGAAAAAGAGGTTTGAGGGAGGGCAGGGCGACAGCCAAGGAGAGGACCCGAGGGGGCGCAGAAGGAAAAAGAGGCCAGCGACGACAGCCGGGGGAATGGGTCCCAAGCTAGGCAGCGTGGAAGAGATCGAAGGTGGGGAGCTAGAGAGAACTGGGGCACAGAGAGTAGGAGGAAAGAGGGAGACCCCTGTTGGAGAGGTCACCAGAAAGGAGGAGAAAGGATTGAAGTCTATGTAGGGAGTGAGAATGGGGGGATGAAGAAGAAGCTTCCTAGCAGGTGGGGCACAGGTGGTGGGAGACCCAACAAAGGGAGGCCTGGCTTGAGTGGAGAGCAATCCTCCTCCCCAGGCCCAGCATCCACACCCCAGGACAATGCAGAACTGCAGCAGCCTGAGCCAGCCCAGGATCCCAGGTGAGTAGGTGCAAGCTTGTGGCTGCCCCACCCATGGCTCCCATCTTTATTTCTAGTGTGGATGACCCCAGGGTTTTAGCACCGAGGGTGGGGTGCACTTGGGGTGGTGGGGAGGCATGGCCCCTCCCCCTATCCTATCCCCTTCCCCACGCTAGGCTTCTTTCAAATCTAGCCACAGACATCAGCAGGTGACCCTTGCCATAGAGGATGCTACAACAGTCATGGGAAGCCAGGTGAGAGGAGGCCTGGAAGGGGGGCTTCACGGGGCGGGGGCGGGGGGGCTTGTTTCTGTCTGGGACTGGGGCTGACCGGGAGCTCTGTAGGTTGCAGGAAGATTGTCTCTGCAGTTATTTGAAAGGGACCAGTGTTCCTAGTATATGTCTGAAGTATGCAAATTCATGGGACACTTGTATTCCCACTTAACTAATCTCTTGGGACCCCGTAGTCGGTTCAGTTTGGTTTTATTTTTGTTTTGTTTTATTTGGGGAGGAGGGCACTACGATGCAATCAGGACATAGCGGAACTCTCCCGTGCCCTGGGGTGAAAGCATGAAGGTGAGGGTTTAGGTGAATGGAGTTCTCTCTTACCTGCTTGGTCTGGGAAGGTACAAAACCCCATAAGAGGCCCCACTCCATACCTTGAGCAGTGCTCTAGCAAGGGTACTTTGAGAGGAGAGACAAAAATGGGGCCACTTGGTGGGCTTTGTGAGGAAGGGCTGGTTGGGAAGGAGAGCCCCAAACTATTACCCTCTGAGTCTGCACCATTCCCTGTTGCCTACCCTCCTGAGGTCCTCCCTGCTTTCAGGAGAGGTGGTAGTTTTTTTTCTGCCTTTGCCAGATTTCTTTGGTTTCTGGATCAGGTGACTCGGGTTCTCTTTCCAGTCATGTCCTGCACTTTGTCTTTTCTACAACATGTTACAGATATGTTACAAAACCGACCCACCCACAGCCAGATCCCCCAGAGTATCCTGAGCCTCAACTCATGCATCCTGGCCCCAGCGATCAGCTCTGGGCAGCTCCTTGTGCCAGCAGGTTGGGAAGTATCATTTATAATAGAAAACAATGTGCCCCAAATACCTGCCCTTTGGAAATAGGTATGAAGACCCCAAGGCAGCAGGAGGATATGCTTATTCTATAAGGGGTAGATTAGCTAGGCTTTTTATTTCTTGTTTGCCCACTTTTCCAGGCCCCAAGTTTTAGAATCACAGTCAGATGCAAGTTTGAGTTGAAAGAAAATGTTTGTTTGTTTGTTTTTAAAGATTTATTTATTTATTTGAGAGAGAAGGTTGGGGAGGGGCAGAGGGAGAGTAAGAGAAGCAGATAGCCCATCATGGGGCTCCATCTCACAACCCTGAGATCACGACCTGAGCTGAAATCAAGAGTCGGACGCTTAACTGACTGAGCCACCCAGGCGCCCTGTTACTCTTTTTATATATGATGAAATCGAGGTAGGTGGGTGACCTGTTGGGGCCCCCAGGACGCAGGTGAAACAAGGTCTACTGGTGGGGCCAGCCTGTTGCCCCACAACCTAAATGCCTCACAGGCCTCCAGGAATCTCTGCGTTTTGGTGGAAAATGACCCATTCTCCTGGCAGGACTCCTTCCTTGCTGGATTCCAGGGTAGGCTTCCCTCCCTTTCCCCTGGGGAAGCATCTGGAGCAGACAACCCCAGTAGGTTTCTCACATTACTCCTTAGATCAAATAAGGGGTTGGAATGGCCTTCCTTTAAAGCCCCTGGAGTAGGCGTGGGGGAAGGAGGTCATTAGCTAGAAAGTGAACCTGAGGATCCTTT